GTCTATGATCATCTGATCTCTTGTAGGTATGGATGGGTTCGTATATACATTGCTTTCTTTTTCTTCCGGAAAAGATCTTAACTTTTGCTGTAGGTTATTGTGGTACTCTCATTGGGTTTTTTGGATTAATTGTACATTGTTCTGTTGTTAGCACAAAATATAGGTAATATGGTTAACCAAGTCATTCGCTCTGAATCTCTACCAGACCATTGGTTTCTCGCTTTCTGTCTCGATTTTTGCTGAATGGAAACCGCTTCATTCACTCCTCTTAGTTGAACTGGTATATGTTTTTGCGATTCCCTCCTTGTTCATCTTAATTTTTGCTGTCTACTGTATGGATTACTAGCAAGCAATGGTACACTGCATTTGCTGTTAATATTAATGGCTGCAACTGCTTGTTCTAATCGGATAACAGATTGTCTGGAATATTGTGCATGCGTCTAATCGAGCTCATGGATACATTTGTGCACGGACTTTGTTGTAACATAAATCAAGTTTGCATTGTTCAAAAGCTGGTCCCATCACCTTAAGTTTCCTTGTTCACTCAAATGACTCTGTGAATATTTGGTCTTTAATTCAACTTATTGGAGCACTCTTAAAGTTCGTGAATTGGGAAGCTTGTCTATTTTTAAGCAAACTTCAGACTTGTCCTCTCTGAATCTACATGGCGTATTTGTTAAAGGTGCCTTTGGCATCCCTCTGATTCCCTTGCGAATTGCCTTTTCGTGCTAACTGAAGTATGTAGTTTGTTTTTGGCAAAAATGTTAGGAAATTGTTTCATAGTGCAACAGGGTTCCAGGCACATTGAACGCGTTGTTGATCTGATGTATAGTCTAATTTCAATTTGCATATCTTTCAAAATAGTCTGCTTATTAATTTCCTGCTGTTTACCAGGCTGATTTAGCTTATGCAGAACACTAAGGCGGAAGCGCAGTGTTGTTTATTGCTGTCCCCGTCCCTGGGCTTTCATGCTAACCTGCCCTTTTGGTCTACCTACTGTTATTACGTTCGTCACTGATGCTCTGTAGATAGCTGACTGTACATAGACAACGATCTTCCTCTTGTCTTAATTTCTGCTACTAAAATCTACCACCACCATTGCCAGTCAATAACACGTCGGGGTAGGACTCAGAAACTGCCTCTGCACTCCCGTCGAATTTACTCGCTTTCTCTCAGTAACGATGGTGATGGATTAGAAAGACTGTCTGGCTTTTCCTCCTACTTATATGCGCACGCACGCGCACAGCATGTGGAAAAGGCGGCACAGCGAGTGGTCTGGTTGCTTGCGTCTGCTTCAAATGGTCCTTGAGGCTTCGTGCGTTACGCTTGTGGGAGTACGTGCGTGTGGGTACGTACGCACCTCTGACGGTGTGTGCGTACGTTTGTCTCTGATCTTCAAACGGCCTGCCTCCTACCAAGGTCGGCGAGATAGCGTTTGTGTGGCGGCGGCGCTTCTCTCTTCTCTAGCAATCAAGAGCATTCAAATTAAAAAGGTCGAAAGGAGTATTTCCTTCGTTCAACTTTCTGAGCCGTTATGCGGCTGAGGAAGTGTCTCGTGCTGGATTTAAGTTTTCATTTTTTGGTTTCTTTCTCATGTGTATTCTAATAATTTTTTTTAATCCAGATGTTAGGTCTATTGTCGTTCCTATTCAAGCATTATGACCTCTCACTTTACGGCTCTCCTGACGTCTGCGCTCTTCTTTGGAGACATGACTAGCTCATTTTGTTATCATCAATAATTCAAATAGACACTACGTTGATATAAACTGCTTCCACGAAATGGTACTCCATACTTGGCATTTAGAAATGGATGGAGTAAATGAATGCTGCTCCGCT